AGGATGCTGAGGTAATTCTTCACATCCCTCTTAGTAGAAGCTGTTCTATTGATAGATTAATATGGCTTGGCACAAATAATGGCAAATTTTCAGTTAAATTGATATACAAATATGCATGGCAGCTAATCTTTGGTTCTGAGCATCACAATCATGACCAAGTCTTACTACCAATATGGAAAGCAATCTGGTTTTTAAATGTCCCCCGTAAAATCAAGCATGTCTTGTGGAGAATAATCTAGGAGATTTCGCCCTCCCATGATATCCTGCTCTCAAAGGGTATTGATGTTGCGTTGGGGTGTGGTATTTGTAGTACAATAGAGGAATCTTATTTTCATTTATTTTTTGATTGCAAATGGAGTAAGACAGTGTGGAAAGAAGTCCTTCCTGAGGTCTCTTTGCATTCTATTCAGCATTAGTCATTTTTGGATGACTTGGAATTTTTCCTTGCAATGAGTACAACAAACAGTAAAATAGTTGCTGTAACTCTTTGGTATATTTGGAATAACAGGAGCAAATGCATCTATAACCATACTTGCCTCTCACCAGGTAGGAGTATTCAGGACATTCGACATTATATAAAAGAGTACAAAGCTGCAACCACAACGGAAGATGAACAATTGCTGGAGGCAAAACATAATCTTGTAGTTGCAGAAAAAGTTAGGACTCTACCACCGAATGGTGTTGTTAAAATTAATGTTGATGCTAGTATTCCACATAAAGCAGGCATGGTCAGTCTTGGTGTCGTCCTTCGAGATAGCAACGGTAGAGTCCTGGGTGCGAGCAAAAAAACCATGAGCTTTCAAGGTGGCATCACTCATGTAGAAATCCTAGCAATCTGTTTTGGAGTCTAGTTGGAGAAAGAGTTTGGCTGCAACAGTATCATTGTTGAGTCAAATAGTCTGAATGTTGTTCAAGTGGTAGCTTCCTCGGATGAGTGTTACCTAACATATGGGGCTCTCATTGAAGATCTTAAGGATCGTATCAGATTATTTAACTCCTGTTCTTTCAAATATGTACGCAAAAATTTAAATGATATTTCTCGTAGGATAGCTAACTTGTATCCCCTTTTATCACCGTGGGGAGGAGTTTGGGTGGACACCCTACCCTCAGCTATCTGTATTGATCCTAGTCTTTAAGCAATGATAGTTATATTTTCCATCAAAAATAATAATAATAATAATTAATTAATTAATTAGTTGAAGAAAATTTAGATGTTGAGCAAGGCCTGGTTGTCTTTAGCCCATTTCTATATTTTTTTTTTTTATCAAACCGATGAAGCAAGAGGATTGGGCCCAGCAATCCACAGATTCACCATGGAAATAGACAAGTAAACACGTATGAGGCATTTTCTGGGTCATCATGCTTCTGTGTACACCGTTTTGGAGTATTCCCGGAGACAAAGACCCGAAGACACCCCTTAGTCTTTCTAATCTCAAAGTTACCTAGCTGGGTCAAAAAGGTGAGCTAGAAACGATGAGCGAATGACACTTCAAACTCGCTGGAAAAGCCTCACTGTGCTCCTTCTTCACTGCTCTTCTCTAGGTTTTCAAATTCCAAAAGAGAAAATCCAAAACTCTCTGAAAATCCCCCTGGTTCTCTCTCCGATTTCATATTTATAGGCCCAGAGAGGGAAGAATAAAAAAAATTAAAAACCCTAAAATCTATCTTATCAACAGATCTCTCTCTCTCTCTTCTCCATCGTAGATCACAAAAGGCCAAGGATTTTGAGCCGCCTCTGCCTTTTCTCCACCGACCACTCCTGGCTTCTTTTGCAGGGGAAAAGCAAAGGACGGGTGTTGGGTTTGTCTCACGTGAGGACGCCTGATGGGTGGGGGCCATCTAGTTGAAGACTGGATGGACGACGAGTGAAAGGGAAGGCTGCTGGTCAGGATTTCGCCGGAAATAGGAGTAGGGACCGACGGGACCATAGCCCCGCTTTTTATTATTTTTAATTTTTGCACGTAAAACGACATCGTTTTTGTTCTTCCGTTTGCACTTTAGTCCGTAAGTTGCTCCCGCATGCCGTTTAGTCCTGATTTTTATCCAGGGTCACATTTAGGTCCATGCATCTCAAAAGCAGATTAACTTAAGCATAAGATGGCCATAATTCAATTAGATCTCAATTTTTCTTTGATAAATTTTCCAGTTGAATTTCCTATGTTACGTTAAAGCTAAAACATTTGAAAATTTTTTCATTTAAAACATGAAAATTTATGAGAAATTGATATTTTAGAAATTTTGAGATTTTTAGCAAGACGATCAGAATGGCTAGAAAAGAAGGGGTTATGATAGCATGCCTCACTAAAAACATAAATGACACAAAAGGGACTCTAGGAATACCTTCTTCTTTGGACAAAATCAGAACCTCTTACCCATGTTTTGGAATGTAAAAGACATTTAAATAACCATAGCTAGCCCATACTCACACTTGTGCTTAGCGCATCTTTGATCTAGAGATTATGTCTTGCTTCCATTGTTTATTGTGGAAGGTAATGAACTAAGACTCTTGGAAGGCAAACTATCGATGGTTGGAAACAAACAAAAAGTAAAAGGTTATCAGTGTAATGAGTTATATTTGAAAAATAGAAGTGGCAAGCGAATTAGGGTTCAATTTAGAACAAAAAGGGAAAGTTAAGGTAATACCCCAAATTTTGAGCATTTATGTTGAATAATTAATTAATTAAATTTGGTATGAGGTGACTAATATAAAAGGGGATTTTAATGGAAGACCAAGTTGTCTAACTCTTTAATCTTGGGGATGTTAGCAGTAAAAAAAAAAAAAGGGAGAGAGTGAGGTAAGGGGTATAAATAGAAGGAAAACCTAATTCCTTTTTGGGTTTTCTCTCGTCTTTTTGGGGTTTTCCTCTTCTATTCCAATACCAAATTAGAATGCTATCGACTTCCTACCCTCTCTATGATGCTTCTTCTTCTTCTAATCAAGGTTATGACTTGATTTTTCCTTGTCCTGTCTCTCTTGAGAATGAAATTTAACCTAGAATTTCCACTTCCAACTGATATTTTCAGGAAAATATCAAGATTTGCTATTGTTCGATCTTCCTTCCTTGTCTGTGATTTGAATGCTTAGTGGGGGGTCCTTCTGCAACTTTCTAGTAAGAAATCAGCCACCTGCTCATCTTTTCATCTCTGATTTAAATTAGTTAACTCTAATCTTTTAAGGTTTTCAATTTTAGGAGTATTTCTATAGTTTTCCTCAATTTGCCCATAATCTAGTGCCACCAGATCTAATCCCTTTTTATTGAAAATTCTGATAGCATGACCTCACAGTAGTATTTTGCCCATAACTCTTTTTGTAGGAATCAGATTAAGTCCATTCTTAATTTTATAAAAAGTTAAGAGATAGCCCAACAGTTTTTTTTTTTTTGTTGGACGTTTAACCCAGTTAAGCTATTTTCAAGGTGAAAACTCTACTACAAGTTTGATTCCTGAAGGTGGATGGAATTGATAGCCTAACCTTACGTTAGTATTATGACCATAACTTTCTTTATAGATGTCATATTAAGGTGATTCTTGATCCTATAAAAAGCTAAACACAGGGTTACAATTAATGTGTTAACCATTCAAGCCAGATTGGTGTATTTTTAGGTGTAAATTCTGTTGAAACTTTCAGTTCAAATATGACTAGAACTTGCCCTAAAAAATGCCCAGAAATTTGCTTTATTTTTAGCTCAATTCCCACATTATCTGCTACCACATCGCATCATGCTTTTACTAGACTTTTAGCTACTGTTTTCTTGCTCTAAAACCCCTTGTTATTGCTTTATTTGTTGCCAAAATCCTGCTTTGCTAATCTTACCTCTTTCCACTGAAACCTTTCTTGAATCACATGTTTTCTTGCTTAAATTTTGTATGAAACAATCCCAAACAGCCTAGAAATTTTAGCCATGGTTAGTTGTTGTTGCAACTTGATATTTTTCCTATTTTTATGATAGAAAGTATGCAAATATGTTAGTTAAAGTCTACCTTTCTACATTCGGCTTTGAATGTAGTTTCTGCACTTAAATTGTGCTATTTTGTCTTCAAATTCCTACTGTTTTGGCTACTTTTTTGCTATTGCATTTATGCTTAAATGTTGTCATTGTTTCCCAATTTTGGCTTGTATTCTACCCTGTGTTGCTGCTATCTTGTTGCCCAAAAATCCTTGCTATTTAGGGCTTTTTCTAAACATCTTGGGGTTGTTTTTAAATGGCCAAAACCCCACTTTGTTGTCCAATATTTTTTGTCGGTGTCTAGGATAATCTAGAGCTTTGTTTCTCACTATTTCTACACTTTTTTTTACCTAGAAAATATGTTAGGAATACCTACTGTTCCATGTGACATTTGGAGCTATTTTAAGTATATTCTAAGTATGATTAAACATATTAATATATTAGAAAGGTTTCAAAGGGTAGAGGTGACCGGGAGGTGTAGGAGAAAGTTGTTTTTTTAGTTAGGAACTTGATTCTGAAATTAGGAACCAAATTAGTTAAATGGACTATGTTGTAATCTTGTTTATTCATTGATGTGGTATAGGTTTTAAATCACCCCAAGCGCCTTAAGTTCTTGAGTTCTTGAATTCTTTGCTAGTTGTCTACTTCCAAGGCGACGTAAGTAAAATTATAAAAAAAATGCCCTTAGATTTTAAGGTAAAGGTTTTAAAAGTATATTTTGAACTATTTTTGAGATGGTGACACAACCTAAACTGATTTTTATTAACACATGAGCATGACTAGTTTGAAATGAAGTTGTTATTATTTTTATTGAGTTGAGCATGCCTACATAAAGTTTATTTGATTGTCCTATTGATCTAAAATTGGTTTGGAAATTATGAATTTTCCTATAAACTGTTGCATTGTTTTGCCTTTAATATGGTCATGATTCCTGAAGCCCCCTCAGTGGGAGTTGTAAACGCTAGCACATGTCAACATGTATTCTTAGAAACTAGTTTTTCCTGATTTATTCTTGTTACTCTTGCCAGTGGGATAGTATACTCGTTATTCCTGATGCTTGCCAATAGGAGTTTGTTAAACACTAGCCATGCTTATAATTGAGATTTTTCTTGCAGTTTATTTTTTAATTGTTATTTGGCATGCTTTAAATAAGGGTTACTCATATTTTCATTTACTGAGTTATCTCTCATAGTTTTTTCTCATCCACAATTAGGTTTGCTTGATCAATTATTTTTTGGACATAGATTTTGGGATGTCAATCATTCTTTTGTAGACTAGATTTCCTTAGAGATAGTCATGACTATATTGATGGATATGTATAATCTTTGTGCACTCTTAGCCTAGTAAAGCTTGGATTGTAAAAGTTAGATTTTATTTTGAGATTTTGGATCTTAGTTTAGTGGATCGTCAGATATGAATTTAACAGGTTTTGAGTCTTGTGCATTTATCAGAGTCCTTCACAAGTACATGGCGTTTGTTTCACTTCTAGTTTTGGGGCGTGACAGTTAAGTAGACAACTGATATACCATTAAATAGGATGATGGGACCATCATGTTGAAACTTCTTTGAGAAGACATTGAATTAAAGCTAAAATGGATCACATGTGTAGTCAAAAGTTTAGGTGTTAAGTATGGACTATATATTAACCATAGAAGGATAAAGTTGGAATAAGATTTGCTAAAAGAAGAATGAAGTTGAGCATGATGTAGGCAGTTTGGTCCTCTACAAATTGCTTTTTGGGGAAAAGTCTCAAAATCTACCTTCAAATCAATATTTTATAAATTCTACTATTAAAGTTAAATTCCCTGAAAATTATGTTGCTTAATTTTATTCTTGATCTAATATTTATAACCCTTTTATCAATGTGATTCAATTTACTTATTTAATATTTAACCATATAAAATATTTAACATGTCATGAAAGAAGTTAGGATTACAACCACAATATTTGGAAATTGCCATGCATTATGCGTGAGTAAGTGGCATAGCCATGATTTCAAGATAGAAGGCACAACTATAAATTATAAAACAATTTCTTTCAAGCTAAATAGGT